AGATACACAGGTTTATATGAAAGTTTTAAGTTGAAAATATCGTTGTGAATATGTAATTTTTGTGCATTAAACTTTGTTGAGAGAAGAACTTAGTTATAAAGAGATTATGATGCAGAAATTAAGTTAAACTCATGGATCTTTGATTAAGCTCAACTATAAAAGATAGTGGAATTATATAGGAGACATAACATTAATATACATCATTAAATATAAGCAAGTCAAAAGATACTTATCGAATCATAACTTGGTTTGCAACCAAACAAAATTTATTATGCGGTATCTACAATAGACAAAAAGCTTTCAACTCTTCGCGTCTCGTTATCTTTGTCTTTGGTCTTCAAGTCTTCAACCTAGACAATATAATTAACTCCTTGACATAACTTCGCTTCCAAACTCTTCGCTACTCGGTTAAAACAAGTCTTCGCTTCCAGATACACTCCATAAATACTAAGGGTCACTTTCGTGAAGTCAAATACTACAGCTTTGAGAAAGTTACAAACAAGGGGGAAATTCATCTTTTCAAACAGGACAAGGTAAATCTGGACATTAATCTTTGCGAAAGTTACAAGCTCTAGTATATACTGATGGTTTTTGGTTCTAAGAACATCCTATGTGCTCATACAAACCCTAAAGCTTGGATCTAGGTTTCTCTATTGTACATGCAAGTTATCCAAGACTATAAACCCTAATTCTAGCATTCAAATAATCATATTAACATGAAAATAAGTTTATAATGTTACCTTGATTGTTATGTAGCAATAACAATCCCAAATCTCCTTGTATTGACTTTGGAAGGCTTAGAGTCACAGTTGTCACTCCTCTAATGGCTTACAAACACCAAGAGCAAATGGAGAAGATATGATGAGAGAGAGGAGGTATTTAATTCGTCCCTAAGAAGCCTTGGGAAGGTCTTACACGAATTCATGAGCCAAGGGGGGTTTATATAGGTGTACAGATAGGGTTTCAGTCATTATCCTTATCTAGTTGCTTGCTTGCCAAGCAACCCATAAGATAATCCTTGAATCCTTATCATAGTCGAATTCTAAGGCATTATCACCTTAAATTCATCCATCCTATACTTAGAATAATCCTTACCTTATTTTGTAACTATCACATAATTACAATTCAGCCCCTCTAGTTTAATTAATTACACTTGATCACAAAATTAATTCCTAATTAATTATTGACCAATATTAATTAAACAAATATGATTTCTCCTTTAATATATTATTCTTATAACATATTAATAAATCATAATAACCTGTCTCTATTTATTTCTCCAATCAAGTTGCTTTGGTGAAGGCAACCCAAAAGGACCATGCACCATCGGGTCAAGTACATACCAAAATAGTTATGGACTTAGACACTAATCCAACAGTCTCCCACTTGGATAAGTCTAATAACTATAATGCGTATGACTTCAAATCCAGATCTGCAATCGTATCTTTCCAAAGCCGTTGTCAACTCTGATCCTATCAGATACGTGTGTCCTTAGATAAGGGATCATATATTCCTCCATTCTAGATATCGTATGAGATATGATTTCTAATCATTCTCTTTGTACTATTTCTCGATTCCCAATTTATGACGACTGACTAATTAAACAAATCAAATTAGCCCTAGCCTGGTCGAGCATTTACGTTTGTCATCACTAAATCATCGAGGGCCCAAAGATATCGCTTTTATCCTTCTTTGGATAAAAGGAACGGATAAACTTTGATACAATGTTCGCTTGCACTTATTCACCGATTCACACAAAATAATATGTTTTATAACACCAAGTTACTAGTGCATTTTCATATTATCAATATGCAACCGATTAGCAAGATACAACTCACACATCTCGGTTTCAAGAATATAAGATGTTATCATCTTACCAATCACTCGTGATACAATTCATGGAGTGATCCAAGTGAGCGTGGGTTTAATCCAATGCTCAAATTCATATTCATAAGCACTTCATGAACGTTGCAGCAAACATTTGCTTATGTCTAATACTCTTTTATACAATCCACACACCAATTCACGACAGTCTTCATTCATATCTACTTCCAACATGTGAACGACTGTGGCTCGTTTGAATAATTTGATTATTCTTAATAAACTCAATTATTCTAGAAGTCAAAACATGCAAAGTGAAACACAAGAATAATACTAATCCCATATGGCCTCAACCCTTTGAGTATAAATAAAACTTCTTTTATTTATCACCATATCGATTACTCATTATTTGTCGGTTCGGGTAATCAACTTCTTACTTGAATTACAACACTTATCCCATGCTCCTAGCATGCACACAATGTTCACCTATGGTTCTTACTTTGTGAAATAGATCACATTGAAAACATTTCCAATCATTCTCATTTCACAACTCCAAATCCTTTTCCATAAGTGAAAGAATATCAAATTCTTGCTACTTATAGAATATGCTAGATTCTAACATTCTATGCAATGATTCTTTCGTAATGTCACTGCACCAAACTCACAAAGACTATTGCCAATGATATTACAAAGTCCTCTATCGAAGATTGTTACAAGACAATTCCTTAGATACGATGTCTCTCACTCAAAGTACATTCCTTTGAACATCCTTTTGCATAAAGGTTTCTAATCTAGTCATAGATTTTTCAATATTCAATTTCCAATATGGACACGCTTCCATATTTTCCGTATGACAACTTATTCTTAATAGAATCTTATCTATTCATAATAATCTCGATATGGTCCATTCAATACCATGCTTCCAACTACTCACAAACAACCAATCCTCATCGAACTTTGGATTGTCCTTTGATAGTTGTTTAATTATATTAGTCAAAACCCATTCTAGTCCCTTTTTCCTCTAAATGCGCTAGACATTTGGAAAATTTTAGAATGGTAAAATATTAAAGCATTTGCAATCGATCCTATACCCGAAGCGTATAGGACACGATGCATAATGTTTTATTTGCTATGGTCAAAGATTAAAGCATTTGCAATCGATCCTTAAAATCTTTCTTAGTGAAAGCATTTCCTCACAATCATTTTCGTGAAGGAGGAAATCTTATGACACTTAGATTTAAAGCGGTGTATTTGTTCCTATCCATGTGAATTTGTTAAAACCAGAGTTTGCGACAAATTCAAACTCATATGGACTGAACTTTCTTAATCTTGATTTCTTTCCTTATGGTAGCACAGCTGCCCACCACGTCTTCCAAGTAGTTAAGCAGCTCACCTTTTCCTATCAATGTACCTTCCATTGATTAAAGTGCTTTGCCTTTTATGCGTTCAAAATGAGAACTCATAGGACTCACATGCATAATTAACTCAATTGAAACAGCACAGAATCAAAATATTGTCAACACGATAGGTTGTAAACCTCAACTCGTGTGCTACACTACTAGAAAAACAGCCTTTTACGACGCTCATTGCGCTTCGTAAAACGCTCAAACGACGCGCAAATGCGCGTCAAGGAAGGCCCTGTCATAACGAGAGACGACGCGCTTTTGCGCGTCCTCTATAGACGACGCGCATTTATGACACGCAATGCGTATCATTAAAGCCGCTGTCAAGAAATATCATGTCATAAATGAAGATGACACACATTTTTGCGTATCTTAATTTTAAATTTTTTTTAAAAAAAATTATTTATAGATTTACTGGTTTTCAAATTAAATTTGCATTTCATGTCTCGTAATAGAAAATAAAATACTATATACAAAAAATATAATACATTGCACAAAAGTTAATGTCATACAAATAATCATTCCAATAGTAGACAAATGGATAAATCTCAAAGGGTTTCAAAAATATGTTTGTCTTCTAATAGAACTTATACACAAGAAAGTACTGAATTTGCTATTGAACTTATACACAAGAAAAAGGTGTTTAAATTCAAAAAAGGTCTCAGCAATTGAATTGGCCCCGAAAGCTTGTGGTTTGACTGCAACTGAGATAAGGATACCATGTTTACTCTTCTTACTAAGCAAACTTGACAATAAGATAATAAAAAACTGAATTATTATTATGATTAAGCAATAGATGTACTCAAGCTGTACATACCAATGGTGATGGTCTTTCATCAGATGCACGTGGAAACCCACTACCATAAACAGAAGTATCAAGATCACTACCATAAATAACTTCAACTTCCTGACATTTGAGCCCTTTTGGTTAATAACTTTTTATTTTATACAAGTATTGTATAAAATAACCAAGCAGAAGATCGTTGAAGATCCTGAATAAATAAAAGTTTTTATTAAAAAAAATTGAGTTTAATACAAAACTAACCTTTACAAATTTAAACTCGTTTGTTTGTTCTTTCATTTTCTCAAATAACCTTTAAACATAATTTATCCATATTCGAAATTGATGAGTAGAAAGTATTTAGAAACTAACCATAACATACTTGATGCCTTCTTTCTTCCAATCATTCATAGAATAATAACAAGACGTATTTGTAAGATCAATTACTAACCCCGGCTGAAAAAATATCAATAAAAATCAAATAAGAATAGCTTCCCACAATTAGTCCAATCGTCCACAATACATAACAAGGCATTGCTGAAATAAACAAAAAAACATTTAAAGGTAAAGTGATAACTTATACTTACCTTCCTCCCCAAAACCCTTTGTTGGTGAATGAGTTGTCTAAAGGAGTATCTTTTACCAAGGATAATACAGACATTAAAAGACTCACCAAGAGGAACTTTAGAAGGAACAATACAACCTAGTCAATGTGGTCCCCCCCCCCCCCACAACACACACACAAAAAAACACCGTTTGTATGGTAAGAGCCTCATTGCATATATATATATATATATATATATATATATATATATATATATATATATATATATATATATATATATATATATATAAAGTGTTATTTTTACTTGTATAAGAGCCTCATTGCATCCTCCTACACTACATAAGCATCTAGCAAGGTCATAATAAACTGCTGCTGAACCAACTATTCCACATCTTTCCATATCTTCAACGGCTGCAAATGCCTCATCAATTCACCCTTCTTTCCAGACTATATTCACAACAACTAGGGAATCGGAATGGAATCAGAAACTATGGAAACAGAATCATACAACATGGAATAACTCTGATGAAGTTAACTTACCTTTGTAAGTTAAGGAATTTGGAATAAATGATTTCTGCATTTTTTTGAAAAACTCATGAACAAGATTATACTTTTCACATGGAAGCATTACCTTTAGAACCATATAAAAAAACAAGGTAATATAAATATAAATATAAGTTAAAGAAAAGAAAACAAGACAATAACAATGTGAATACCTCCATTATGAGTCCATATGTTATGGTATTAGGTAGTTGTCCCTGTTCCTTTAGCTGCTGCAATACCCAAAATGCCCCTTCTAGATTTTTTTGACGAACACATGCATTTAACACCTACATCACATGTAGACAAATACTTGATGAAAAGTTTGTAGACAATTAAATACTTGATCAATCCCATCTTACTTTTTGTACAAGATCCAACAGATCCATTGCATAAGCCACAACCACATTGCTATCAATCTGTTCTTCAAATGGTGGCACCTTATGAGCCCAATTTTAAAATTATTAAATAACTTTTGATACAGAGAGAACAATAGAGTCCTATTCAGTGAAGCATTTCATGAAATCCATTTGATTACATAATCATCTCAACTGATTTCCTCCTGGAGGTTAAACATTGAAAGTAGCAAGCTATTTGTCATTAAAATGAATATGACATGCTATTTTTGTCATAAAAGTGAAAGTAACATGTTATTTTTGTTTTAATGTTTTATAAATGAAAGTAGCATGCTATTTTTGTCATAAAATAAAGGAAGTTGTAATAAAAAGAAATGAAAATAGTATGCAATAATACACAGGGAAGTCAAAAAGTATGATGCCTTAATTACAAATGTGTTGGTTGAGAGCCCAAAATTCTACTAGTCCAGCAACTTCATCAGGTTGCTAATATTTATCTTCCTGTATATCAAATTAAAAATAACCATATAATATTATGATAAAAATCTAACTATTGTTTACCATTTGTTTGTACTCTCTAGTCCAGCAACTTCATCAGGTTGCCAATATTTATCTAAAGTTTTACAATATAATGCTAACTTCCAATTAAAAAACAAACTAACCTGGTTTTCAAGGACAGTCACCATACAATCTACTTGTTTCAGCAACTTATATTGAAAAAAAAATTAACAATGTTGTAGAAAATAGATTTCATTAAGTAAATACAAAACAATTGCATTCAACTGCCTGTTTTGATTCGGTAGCAATTGCCTCATTTTCTTTAGCAAGAGCTTGTGACATCTCTAACTCCTTTCTAACTTAAAGAAGCTCACAAGTTCTTGATTCAACTAATGTTTCCATTTCAATAAGATTAGTTTCCAATTGAACCAATTCCATTTCCATTCTCTCATTAGCCTCTTTGACCTTTTCCAATTCCATTCCGGTCGTCTCATATGCTTTTAAGGCATCTTTTAGTGTTTGGATTTTAGAAAATAGTGATTTTACCAACTTACACTCTCTTGAAACATCTGCTTCAAGTGAATTGATCATCAAAACTTTTCTCATTCACTTGAATTTCAAGAACTTGACCTTTTAGAATGTTTTTATCAAGCTCTTCCGCTAAAGCCTCCAGAGATGCTTCTAATTCTTCAATTTCATCTTTCTGATCTTGAGTACAAATACAAGAAAATTACTAATCCCTACAATTCCTTTTATATTTTCGAAATTCCATAAATGCCCTTGAAGTCTTTTGAGGAAATTAGTTTGACAATCTTCTATAATCCGATCGCAAACGATCCAACAAACACTCAGCACATGAATAATAAAAAAGACGAGAATGCTCTTGCTGCAGATTCTTTAATCGAAATATCTTTGGACCTATTAAAAATCCATTTTTTTTCTCCTTTTTCCTTTTTTATTCCAATAAAACCAAGCTGGAGCAAAAACCCATAAAATATCTTGAAGCTTTTATGATGCAGAGGTAAAAACTACTTATCCAAATGTAATACAGGTCTGATCAAAATCTAATGCAGGTATGAATCATCCATATATGGTTTCTACTTGATATTGCGTGAATGCTATCTTTCACATATGTCCTACAAAAAAAGATCCATGTTGTTATAGAAGAGACAAATTTTAAATCAACTGGAGCAACCATGTGTAGAATAAAAAGTAATTTTGACATTACTCGTTCCTCTATTCATCTATTATGCCTATTTATACTTTAAAAACTTAGAAAATGTCATGAAAAAACTTTAAGTCCTACATAAACCTTACAGAGGGATAAATTTCACAAAGCTATGTAGCAAAAAATCATTAATATTATGGTTCAATAACAAGTAGATTCGTATAAGAGCACCAAAACTAATATAAAAAACTAAAAACATATAAAAACTTACAAATAACATTGGTCCTTCATCATTGTTGCCTCTTGTGAATAAATATGAATCTCATTTGATGAAATCCCCTGTGATTGAGCACCCATAAAAGGATAAACATAAAGCAACAGAAAACTAAACCAAAAACGAACAGTGAAAAATACAAACAAAAGATTGACATTCCGTTATTACACCAAAAAAAATACAAATCACATGTAGCCCCCTTCCGGAAGTCCAACATTTGTTACAAATTCTATATGGCCATCAAAGATTCAAAATACAGAACATATAATATAACTGAAAAATAGAAAGAAAATGAAAGACATGGAGTACTATTTGGATCCTCCTCATTTTGTGATCCCTAACTAGTATTTTGGTATGAAGCTGCATGTAAAAAAAAGTTAAAAACTCAAATCAAGTCAAAGGTAAACTAAGTGATTTCAAGATTTTTATCATATTAAGTTATCCCTTCTGCGTAGGGTAAAATAGAAATACAAATATACATAGCTTCACTGATTAAATCATGTTTTCATTTAATTCAAAAAGAAAAACGATGGCAATAGGGTACCAAATCAAGTATAATCAATAAATCCAATCATACCAGTTGCTTCAATCGAATCCTAATATACAAGGAAAACAAAAAATCAATAGGAAAACTGGTAGATTTTGAGACCAATTAGACAAAACGGTGGCAACAGGGTACCAAATCAGCGTTCCATAAACGCAAAATTGGCAACCCAAACTCCAAATTGGCGATCGTATTGGATCGATTCCGATCGCTAAAAACACGTTACAGCAATCGATTTTCCCATTCAGTGGGATCATGGAGTTTCCGTACCCAAGTACGTTTCCGCCAACTATCGAAACAATAACGTACCACGATTGGGAACAAAACCTTCCGAACGTGGATCATGGCTGATAAATTGATCCCTGTGACTATGATATTAGCGCATACTAAAGTTATAATCCATCAAGGGAGAAGAAGTTAGGATTTGGGGGAAGAGAAGAGCTGCTTAGTAAATCTTCATATAGTGGAGGATAAAGATGAGAGAAAACCTGGTGGAGAAGGAGAGACGAGAAGGTGGAGGTGTTGATTAGAGGTTGTTCAACTGGTAGCTTCGATTGACGGTTGGTGAGTCGTAGTTGACGAGCGGCGCTGCAATCGAAAGAAGTAGCAATCGCCGAACCATTTAGTGTGAGGATCGATTTGGAAGAAATCTCAAACCCTTAACGTTAAGCATGATTAGAAACGATTGCTCCATAATCTTCTTCGTCTCCGCCAATTCCTTGGGCTTAAATAATTGGACGATGGTGGTAAATGAAGCGTTCTTGGAGAAAGAAGGTGCATCGCTGCAGTCTAAGGCTAGAAGAGGCAACGAGGATTGGAGGCGGTGGATGTCGGTGAGGACCTGAGGGATGGAGACGAGGAAGAAAAAGGCGGGGGTTTAAAAAATTTGGGGATTTCATTTTCCCTCTATGGAGACGCGCGTTTCTTAAAAAAATATAAAACGACATTCACAGAGGACGCACACTTTACAAAAAGTGCCCTCCGTGTTTTTAAGTTTTTACATTAGACACTAATTTAAGGGCACGCAATAATGTGCGACCTAAATCCTTAAAATTTGTGAAGAGATGACACCTTTTTTATGTCGCTCTCTTTTACGTAACATTAATCAGAGAGCGTCGTGTTTTGCACGTCCTAAAAGGGTCTTTTTCTTGTAGTGCTAGTGATGATCGATAAGGTTTATTTGATTTGTTCTTGAAACCTTTCATTAAGACTCCCACTGACTCATTGACATATAAGATTCTCTTGTCAACAAATATTCAAGAGTTAGTGTAGCTTTTATCAAAACATTTCATAAATTGGTCCTAGTTGGCCTTTGTCTTATCCAAGACATCACAACTTTCCATATTTGATGAATGTTATAAACCTTCTTAATACTTTTCACTCATTGTCACAATCTTAACTTTAAGACTTGTTATTGGAACGAAGTATGATTGACCTTTTGATTTAACTATTTCTTCAATTCTTGATTCCTCTTCTTAAACATACAATTGTACTAAGACTCACTTAGAGGATCAATTAAGCTACGGTTCTTAATCATAAAGAGTTATCATAAAGCATAAAAGGTACTCTCCCTTCTTCTTAGAATGGAGAAACTTTTATCTTTCTGCCTACTTGATTTTTTATTCGTTTCGCTTTTGATTTAAACTTTTTCAATCAATTCAGAATTACACTTAATCTTATGAGTATAATCACATTTACTAAACCTTTAGTAAATTATGACGAATATCTTTGTTACTCTTATGGTGGACTTGATCAACACACAACTTTGTGTGCTCGATCTCCTAGTCCTTTCACTTGACACTTTGTCAACGAATTAGTCTAATTTCCAAATATGAAATTTCTCATTCATCATGCAACCAAGTTGCGTGATTCCAAATTTCTGTCCAATGGAAATTTGGGTGATGAGAAACTCTCCATATTTGGTAAATTCTCGACTTTTTCCATAAGAATCATATCCATTTGTTGAAAAAAAATATTCAAACATCAATTTTCATAACGATTTCATTGCAAGGAAGTAAACAAATGAATAAGTCAAACCAAAATTTATTTTATTTATAAAAGCAGCGGAAAACATTTGTCCTTACAATGCAAAATCCATTGAAAACTATGTATTTCAAAATGAAAATTTCTAACAACTCTATTATAACTATCTAATCTTCAAGTCCATGCGATCAAGATCCATTTCTTGTGATTAGATTCATCTTGCTCTTTCACCAAGCTTCCTTTCTTTTCACCGATCCTGCAAAACATTCAAATGCAATCTTATAACATCATGTATTTGAATCAATGAATAGGAACTTAACGAAGTTAGATAGTGGATTTTACCTGAAGCGCAGTCATACTCTTTGACTCTCCCATCTTTGGAATTTTCAGGCTCTTGGGGCAGACTTCTATCCAACGCCCTTTTTCTCTTGGCAGCAAACGCAGGTCGGTTCTCCTAGAACGTCCTCGAAAGCATGGTCGGCTGACTTTCCCAACAAATACGCTCTATTGCTTCGCCAAATCATTTCTGATTCAGCAGCAATGAGCATGTAAGTTAGGTCAATGAGGTTTTTCGTCATGATCCATCATATAATACTTCCTTTTGAACTCATTATATGATTCAGGAAGTGACTGCAAAACCCAATTTACAGCCAACTCATTCAGGAATGACACACCCAACATTATCAACCTATCAATGTGTGATTTCATTCCTAGAACGTGGGCACACACGGGCTTACCATCTTCATGTTTCATTTCCAATAGGGCTTTAGTGATATTGAACCTTTCAATTCTTCGATCTTGTGGGTTAGGGAGAACAATTGGAGGAGGAGGAGGAAGTGAAGCATGATTTCTTGTTCCTCGATCGAATCGTGGAATATCATCTTCATGTGGAATGCTTGTTCCACGGGATTTGGGAAGACCATGGTTGTCGAACTTTGACATCTACAAAACGGGAGAAAACAAATTCAAGTTAGTTGATCGATTGAGTCCTTAGTAAATCACCCAAATGAGATACTAAGGCTAGGACCCAACACAATACGCTACAACCTAGAAAAGGGATGTCATAATCTAGTTGCAGAATATTTGAAGGTAAGTGAATGACGATTCACTAATTTCCACCATGAAGAACGAAAAAGAAATTTAAGTTTTAAATCTATGAAAACTCCTAGATCCTTTGAGATTCATTGAACATTTCAATGGCATGTTTAAATCTCGATATGCCCCTCTTGTTTGTGACTGGGATGTCGAGGATCACAAAGCGGGTGTGAATAACCATGCAAACTTACATGGTGCCCTCACATGTTATAGTCACCTATTCGATGTGTCAGTAAACCACACACGCTCTACCTAACTATGACAAACATTGAGTCACCCTTTGCTACCTTTGCTTAGAACCATTTAGTGTGCCGGTAAACCAGACACGCTCCACTAACGTCTTCGGAAGGGCAGAAAGTGTAATTTCATGGAATTGCATCAATTCACTTTTGCGTAAGTAACTAAGATTGGGAATTTGAAAAACATTTAGTTACTTTGTATTTTATTATACTTATAATGGATGGTTTCGTCCTATCCTACCCGTTCGGCTAACGACCCTCCACTAGTCAAGAGTGCGGTGGGTATGAGTGGATACCCATTCAATCTCCATATTATAGGCAATTTCCTTAAACACCCCTTATAGACCAGCTTCGTGAATGAGGCCTACTAACGGCAAGACTGACTTTTACTCATACATATATATAATGTTAGACTTTTAATGTTATATATAGTATAGGGTGTATTTTACACTTTTAAAATACTAGGTGGTCTAATTTAACAATTATACTTTTAATTCAATTAAATTGTAAACCTAAACTTTTATGGATTTATTAAACCCCTTTTAATTATACACCTTAATTAATTAATAAAACCATAAGGGTGTGATTTGAACTTTTCAAAACATTACTAGGGTTTTAGAATTTATTATTCCAAATTAAACTTTTAATCAACTTTTAAATTTCAAAACTTGAGGGCAAGTTTTGAAACATTTCAAAACATTAGGGTTTAGAATTTAAATATATATATATATATATATATATATATATATATATATATATATATATATATATCACAATTAAACAATTAATCAAAATTTAAATTCCAAAACTTGAGGGCAATTTTTGAAACCTTTTTCAAAACATTAGGGTTTTAACTATTTAAATTTCAAAAATTCAAAACTTTTGGGTTCAAATTTAAACTATAAAACCTAAAGGGAAAAATATGAAACTTTTCATAACAACAAGGATCAAATAAAAAATAATTCAAATTAACATTTAATCACATAATTATCCATATTTGATTTATTTAATGATTTCTTGCAAAACAATTTATCAATTTACTCAAAATAATTAATCAATTATCACATAAGGAAACAATTATCTTATTAATTGATAAATATCTTCAATTAGATCAAAATTATAGTCAAATATATCATATAATCGGATTAATATTGATCTAACATGATAAGGTAACTATCCATAAGCAAAAACAGCATGAAAACCCGAGATACCCTCCATCTGACGAGTTGACTCGTCGAGTCAGGCTTGGACTCGTCGAGTCTGCACGGACTCGGCGAGTTCAGCTATGGACTCGGCGAGTCCAGCCTCAAAACACCAAAAAAAACGAATTTTTTGAACATGTAATGCATCAATACAATTGAAACCAAGCTAGGCTCTGATACCACTGATGGGTTTTGGTCCTAAGAACATCCTATGTGCTCATACAAACCCTAAAGCTTGGATCTAGGTTTCTCTATTGTACATGCAAGTTATCCAAGACTATAAATCCTAATTCTAGCATTCAAATAATCATATTAACATGAAAATAAGTTTATAATGTTACCTTGATTGTTATGTACCAATAAAAATCCCAAATCTCCTTGTATTGACTTTGGAAGGCTTAGAGTCACAGTTGTCACTCCTCTAATGGCTTACAAACACCAAGAGCAAATGGAGAAGATATGAGGAGAGAGAGGAGGTATTGAATTCGTCCCTAAGAAGCCTTGGGAAGGTCTTACATGAATTCATGAGCCAAGAGGGGTTTATATAGGTGTACAGATAGGATTTCAGTCATTATCCTTATCTACATGCTTGCTTACCAAGCAACCCATAAGATAATCCTTGAATCCTTATCATAGTCGAATTCTAAGGCATTATCACCTTAAATTCGTCCATCCTATACTTAGGATAATCCTTACCTTATTTTGTAACTATCTCATAATTACAATTCAGCCCCTCTAGTTTAATTAATTACACTTGATCACAAAATTAATTCCTAATTAATTATTGACCAATATTAATTAATCAAATATGATTTCTCCTTTAATATATTATTCTTATAACATATTAATAAATCATAATAAACTCTCTCTCTATTTATTTCTCCAATCAAGTTGCTTTGGTGAAGGCAACCCAAAAGGACCATGCACCATCAGGTCAATTACATACCAAAATAGTTATGGACTTAGACACTAATCCAACATATACGGGTTTCATATTGTGCTATTTTTATATCTTGTTCTTGAATACCCTTGTGATTGAGAAGATTTCTTCAGGCTTCACGAAGATAAAGTCGGATTGAGTATGATGTTATTTCTCCTTAAAGCGATTGAGAGTGTATTGATAGAAAAATTTTCCTTAAAATGAGTAAGATTTGGATGATTTAAGTGCTTCTAAAGCATCATTTCACTAGATTTCTTCAATTTTCATTTAATGTTTGTTTTGAAACAAGTTCAACCTTTCAAACTCCAATGGAAGTCTGCATTCATCTAGGATGCGAAGATCAAATGGATCAAAGACTGGGAAGTATTTTGCATTTAGAGATTGAGGAATATCACAAAATCCATCGATAGGAGGCTCAACATACGTCAGACGAGTGATGT